CTGTCTTATCCTCTGAATCCTCATAGCTTTCCTGGATTCTGAGATTTTCGTTTTCTTTGAGAAGAATGGAGGTAAAGGCAGCCACAACGACGTCGTTTCATTGGTCAGGACGCCATTCGGCGATACCTCAATGTCCGTCTTTCTCGCAAACCCTAACCTCATCGAAACGCCGTCGTTCTCGTGGAAGAGGCGGAGATGTATCCGTCGGAGGTGGATCTTTAGCATTCCAGACGAGATTGAAACCTTCGACGTTTCTCGGAACGCAATCTGGGAAGCTCCACCGATCTAAATCCTGTGAGCTTTGGGAATTTTCCTCCAATGCTACAACGAAACATAATCCTCTACGGAGAGTTTGCAGCGCGAGCTCCGGTTTCTTCTCCGACGAAGAATTCTCCGTGAAGATGCAGGAATTAGCATTACAATTCAAGATTGCAGGGGAAGAAGAAGAAGGCTTAGAGAGAAACAAAGGAAGTGAATACCAATCAGAGATAATCCACGAAGCAGTAGATAACGATCATCATAGGAGTTACGGATTCGGCAATGTGAAGCTATTAGAGGAGTCTGTTCCAGGTTTAGCATCTCTGGAGGCTCCATGGATGGAGATGGTTAACCATTCAAGCATTGAAAGGAAAGCAAACAGTGTTGATTTGCCTCTCTCCCTTAGGATAATAAAGAGGAAGCTTCAAGAAGAGGCTCTCAAAGAAGCTAGTGAATCTACTTATTGTTCTATCAACAAAGCCTTCTCATCTATGGTGTTCATGATCGAGGAGCTCCATAGCTTTGCGTTGCAGACTAGGGAAACTATCTTCTACGAAGACCTACAAGGTGTTGTTAAGCAGGTTAAGAAGGATATGCACGCTTCATTGTTGTGGATTTTCCAACGCGTGTTCTCTCAAACGCCTACTTTGATGGTATATGTAATGATCCTATTGGCAAACTTCACTCTGCATTCAGTTGCATCAAACCTAGCTATTGCAACACCTCCCCCACACCCTGCTGTGCCAATAGAAGCATTACCGGTTACTAAAGGACAAGATCAGACGCATCAAAGGTTTGATTTTTCTTCGCTAACGGAGTCTAGTGTATCTAGTGGAGGTGGCCGGAGGGATTTGGGGTCTGTCGCAAGTGGCACATATGGTAACGGGTTTAATGGATCCAAATGGTTTGATTCGATAACTTTTGACAAGGTCTCCCACTTATCGACACAACGAGACTCGGTTTCAGGACAAGGGATAAGAGAAGAGGAGCTGAGTCTGTGGAAGTCAGTAGTGGAAGAAGCAGATCAAATGCATGATTCCCCTGTCGATCGTGACATGAGATTGACACTTGTTTCACCGATCAGTGCAAGGATTGAATTGGACGATTATGCGAATTACACTAGAACAGAGCTTTTATATAAAATAGGTTTGGCTCAAGAACCGAACAACCCTCTTCTCTTAGCTAACTACGCTCAGTTCCTTTACCTCGTCACTCAAGATTACGACAGGTACTAAATCATATTCTTGCGTCTAACATTCAAGTGGTATCACGTGTCCTATGTGAAACTAAAGTATATGTTTGTGCTTGAGTCTTGGAGAATCATTTGTTTATATATAGACCTATATTGAAGTATAGCACAAATATTCATGAACAGATTGTAAGTTTGGAACTTGACAATGATGTTTGCTTTTTTTGGATGTATCAGAGCGGAGAAGTGCTTCAAGAAGGCCATAGAGTCAGAAGAAGTAGACGCCGAAACGTACAGCAAATACGCCATCTTCCAGTGGAAAGTTCGGAAGGACCTCTGGGCAGCCGAGGAGAACTTTCTAGAAGCAATATCTGCAGACCCTACAAACTCCTTCCACGCCGCCAACTACGCCAACTTCCTCTGGCAAACCGGTGGCGAAGAAACGTGTTTCCCCATTGAATCATCTGATTCTCCTCAGGAAATGGTTTGAGACGGTAGAAGAACCAGGCAGAGAATGGTGGGGTTTGTTAGAAGCAATTTGCAGTGAAGAGACAGCGACAGGAGTTAGGGTAGACAATAGAAGCAAGAGGAACTGTAAGTAGTGGTTTTGAGTGAATCAGTGTTGCCGATGAAACATTGCTCCTCTTTGCTTCTG